ATTCACCGCATAAACACAAGCAAAAACAAAGACCATATGATCATCTCAATAGATGCAGAAAAAGTATTTGATAAAGTACATCACCATTTCATGATAAAAAAAAAAAAAGACCCTCAAAAAACTAGGAATAGAAGTAAGATATCTCAAAATTATAAAAGTCACATATGACAGTCCCACAGCCAACATCATACTGAATTGGGAAAAGTTGAAAGCATGCCCCCTAAGACTGGAACAAGACAAGTGTGCCTACTGTCACCACTTCTATTCAACATAGTACTGGAAGTCCTAGCCGGAGCAATTAGGCCAAAGAAAGATAAAGCAATCCTAACTGGGAAAGGGGAGGTCAAACTATTGCTTTTCACTGACAATATAATCCTGTGTCTAGAAATTCCCAAAGACTCCATCAAAAGACTCCTAGAATTGATAAATAAATTCAGCAAATTTTCAGGTTACAAAATCAATGTATACAAATTGCTGATGCCACGGCACTCACTCTAGCCTCGGCAACAAAGTGAGACTCTGTCTCAAAAAAATAAAAATAAAAATAAAAAATAATTCACCATGATCATGTGAGTTCCATCCCATGGATGCAAGGATGTTTCTTTTCTTTTCTTTTCTTTTCTTTCTTTCCTTTTTTCTTCTTGCCCTGTTTCCCAGGCTAGAGTGCAATGGCATCAGCCTAGCTTTGAACAAACTTACTCCCAGGCTCAAGCAATCCTTCCACCTCAGCCTCCCAATTAGCTGGGACTACAGGTACATACCACCACACCCAGCAGGGTTTTTTTATTTTTAGTAGAGATGGAGTCTCGCTTTTGCTCAGGCTGCTATCAAACTCCTGAGCTCAAGTGATCTTCCCACCTTGGCATCCCAGAATTCTAGGATTACAGGCATGAGCCATTGCACCCAGCCTCAGTATCATTTCTATATAAAAACAGTCAAGGTGAGAGTCAAATCAAAGAGTTAATACCATTCACAATAGCTACAAAGAAAATAAAATACTTAGTAATATACTTAATCAAGAAGGTGAAAGATCTCTACAAGGAGAGCTACAAAATACTGATGAAAAAAATCAGAGACGACACAAACAATTGGAAAAACATCTCATGCTCACAGATTGGTAGAATCAACTTTGTTAAAATGTCCATACTACCCAAAGTGATTTACAGATTAAACACAATCCCCATCGAAATACCAACATCATACTTTACAGATTGAGAAAAAAATAATTCTATGCTTCATTTGGAACCAAAAAGGAGCCCAAATAGCCAAAGCAATCTTAAGCAAAAAGAACAAATCTGGAGGCATCACATTAGCACACTTCAAATTATACAAGGCTACAGTAACCAAAATAGCATGGTACTAGTATAAAAGTAGAAATATAGACCAATGGAACAGAATGGAGAATCCAGATATAAAACCATCTACCTACAACCAACTGATCTTCAACAAAGCAGACAACATACACTGGAAAGGAAGCCCTATTCAATAAATGGTGCTGGTAAAATTGGATAATAGCCACATTCAGATGAATGAAACAAGACCCCTATCTCTAGCCATGTTTAAAAAAAAAAATGATTCAAGATGGATAAACTACTTAAATATAAGGCATGAAACCATAAAAATTCTAGAAGAAATTGTAGGAAAAACTCTTCCAAACATCAGTCTAGGCAAAGAATTTATGACTAAGACCTCAAAGGCAAATACAGCAACAATAAAAATGAATGGGACTTGATTAAATATTGCCGGGCGCAGTGGCTCACGCCTGTAATCCTAGCACTGTGGGAGGCTGAGTCGGGCGGATTGCTCAAGGTCAGGAGTTCAAAACCAGCCTGAGCAAGAGCAAGACCCTGTCTCTACTATAAATAGAAAGAATTAATTGGCCAAGTAATATATATAGAAAAAATCAGCCGAGCATGGTGGCGCATGCCTGTAGTCCCAGCTACTTGGGAGGCCGAGGCAGTAGGATCGCTTGAGCCCAGGAGTTTGAGGTTGCTGTAAGCTAAGCTGATGCCATGGCACTCACTCTAGCCTGGGCAACAAAGCGAGACTCTGTCTCAAAAATAAATAAATAAATAGGACTTGATTAAATAAAAAGGCTTCTGCACAGCAAAGGAAATAACAGAGTAAATAGAGAACCTACAGAATGGAAGAAAATATTCACAAACTATACATCTGAAAAGGGTTAATATCTAGAATCTACAAAGAACTTAAACAAATCAATGAGAAAAAAACAAACGACCCCATTAAAAACTGGGCAAAAGACATGAACAAAAGCTTTTTAAAAGAAGATAGACAAATGGCCAACAAACATATAAAGAAATATTCAACATCACTAATTATCAGGGAAATCCAAATTAAAACCACAATGAAATACCACCTTACCCCTGTCAGAATGGCCATTATGAAAAGGTTAAAAAAAAATACATGTTGATGTGGATGCAGAGAGAAAGGAATGCCTATACACTGTTGTTGGTGAGACTGCAAACTAGTACAACCTCTACATACTGGAAAACAGTATGTAGATTCCTCAAAGAAATAAATGTAGACTTACCATTCAACCCAGCAATCCCACTACTTGGTATTTACCCAAAGGAAAAGAAGTCATTTTGTCAAAAAGGCACCTGTACTCAAATGTTTATTGCAGCATAATTCACAATTGCAAAGATGTGGAATCAGCCTAAGTGCCCATCAATTCATGAGTGGATTCTCAAAATGTGATACATATATACTATAGAGAAAAATGAAGGCTGGGCGCGGTGGCTCACACCTGTAATCCTAGCACTCTGGGAGGCCAAAGCGGGCGGATTGCTGGAGGTCAGGAGTTCGAAACCAGCCTGAGCAAGAGCGAGACCCCGTCTCTACTATAAATAGAAAGAAATTAATTGGCCAACTAATATATATATAGAAAAAATTAGCCAGGCATGGTGGTGCATGCCTGTAGTCCCAGCTACTCGGGAGGCTGAGGCAGTAGGATTGCTTGAGCCCAGGAGTTTGAGGTTGCTGTGAGCTAAGCTGACACCACGGCACTCACTCTAGCCTGGGCAACAAAGCGAGACTCTGTCTCAAAAAAAAAAAAAAAAAAATTAGTGAAATAATGTCCTTTGCAGCAAGTTGGATGAAACTGGAGACCATTATTCTACATAAAGTATCTCAGGAGTGGAAAAACAAACACTACACATACTCTCTAATAATTGGGAGCTAATCAATGGGCACACATGGGCACAAAGAGATGGTCATTGGAAATCAAGAAGAGGGGAGGAATAAAAACCTACTTATCTGGTATAATGAACACTATTCGTGTGATGGGTACACGAAAAGCCCTAACTTAAGCATTATAAGTGGTATATGTAATAAAAACATTTGTATCCCTTAATATTTTGCAATATAGGAAAAAAATTGGCTTAAAAAACAAACCAAGAGGCCGGGCGCGGTGGCTCACGCCTGTAATCCTAGCACTCTAGGAGGCTGAGGCGGGCAGATTGCTCAAGGTCAGGAGTTCGAAACCACCCTGAGCAAGAGTGAGACCCCCGTCTCTACTATAAATAGAAACAAATTAATTGGCCAACTAATATAGATAGAAAAAATTAGCCGGGCATGGTGGCGCATGCCTGTAGTCCCAGCTACTCGGGAGGCTGAGGCAGGAGGATTGCTTGAGCCCAGGAGTGTGAGGTTGCTGTGAGCTAAGCTGACACCACGGCACTCACTCTAGCCTAGGCAACAAAGCGAGACTCTGTCTCAAAAAAAAAAAAAAAAAAATTAGTGAAATAATGTCCTTTGCAGCAAGTTGGATGAAACTGGAGACCATTATTCTACATAAAGTATCTCAGGAGTGGAAAAACAAACACTACACATACTCTCTAATAATTGGGAGCTAATCAATGGGCACACATGGGCACAAAGAGATGGTCATTGGAAATCAAGAAGAGGGGAGGAATAAAAACCTACTTATCTGGTATAATGAACACTATTCGTGTGATGGGTACACGAAAAGCCCTAACTTAAGCATTATAAGTGGTATATGTAATAAAAACATTTGTATCCCTTAATATTTTGCAATATAGGAAAAAAATTGGCTTAAAAAAAAAAACAAGATAGCCAGGTGCAGTGGCTCATACCTATAATCCTAGCACTCTGGGAGGTCAAGGTGGGAGGATCACTTGAGGCCAGGAGTTCAAGACCAACCTGAGCAAGAGCAAGACCCACTCATAGCAAGACCTTGTCTCTACAAAAAACTTTAAAAAATTAGCTAGGCATGGTGGTGTGCACCTGTAGTCCCAACTACCCAGGAGGCTGAGGCAGAAGAATGGCTTGAGCCTAGAGATTGCAGGTTGCAATGAGCTATGATGATGCCACTGCACTCCTGCTGGGGCAACAGAGCGAGACTCTGTCTTAAAGAAAAATAAAGAAATAAACAAACAAACCAAGATGTTTACATACAAAAAAGTTGCCATTTATGTGGGGCACGTAAGTTTCTCTGTCTCTGAATTTGAAACTGATATTTTTTTTATTTTTTCCCCTTTATTTTGGCTTTGGTTCTCTGATTCAGTGTGGTGTAAACAAAAGAACACTTTACTAGAAGGTAGAAGACTTGGATGGTGTCTCTTACTAATTTAATATTATATGTTCTTTGTTTCCAAATCTCATCTCAGGTTAACAGAGCTAAAATTATAAATGTTAAAGTTATTTATACATAATACCTAAGTAATACAGAGGATGTGGTAAGTATAAACTTTGACAAATGCCTAGTCCCTTATAGTCAGAAGCGGAGCTCATATTACATTATATTTCTAGAACACCTACCTATTTTTTAGGTGCCTGGTTCATTTAGGAAAAGAGTATTGTGGAAGATTTTAGACTATTTAGAAATTAGGCAGACTGTTGATTTGTAGTTGTCATTTATTAGCATGTAATCTCTTTGAGATTATACTGAAGTCTATATGTAAGTAAAAGTCATAATTTATCTTTTCCAGAAATGAAGAAACATTATTTTCTCATTTTAGGTGTTTGAAAAACTCCAACTTTTCTATCCAGAGTGCCAACCTGAGCAGATTCTGATGCCTATGAACTCTCAGCTCAAACTCCATACCAATAGGTTAGTAGAAGGGAGAAGAAGGAAAGCCAGGTTGTAATTTTAAGTATCTTCAGTAAAGCTTTGCATATGGAAAGACTACTTTGCCTTCTAGGTGATATGTCTAACTTCTGAATAATTGTTTTTGAGCAGAGGTGAAATTCACATAACATAAAACTAACCATTTTATTCTTGTTGTTCTTTAATTTAATTTTATTTTATAGAGACAGGTCTTGCTCTTGCCCAGGCTGTCTTGAACTCCCAGCCTCAAGTGATACACCTGCCTTGGCCTCCCAAAGAACTGGAATTACAGGCATGGACCACCGCACCCAGCCTAATTTTTTTTTAATTGACAGATAATAAGTATGTGTATTCATGGGGTACATAGTAATGTTTCAATACATATAATGTATAATGATCAGATTAGGATAATTAGCATATCCGTCATCTCAAACATTTATTATTTCTTTCTATGTGTTGAGAACAGTATCCTTCTTCTAGATATTTGAATCTATATAATATATTATTATCAACTATAATCATCCTACAGTGCTATAAAACTGTAGTCCCTAACCCTGGACCACAGAGTTCTGCTGCCCCACATCCCTCCCCCATCTGTGGAAAAATTCTTCCAAGGAACTTAGTGGAGATGGGCGGGAGTGCACAGCAGGAGGTGAGTGGCGGGTGAGCAAGGGAAGCTTCATCTGTATGTATAGCTACTCCCATCACCGCCTGAGCTCTTCCTGCCCATGCACCCCCACCTGTGAAAAAACTGTCTTCTAGGCCGGGCGTGGTGGCTCACGCCTGTAATCCTAGCACTTTGGGAGGCCAAGGCGGGCGGATTACTCAAGGTCAGGAGTTCGAAACCAACCTGAGTGAGACCCCGTCTCTACCAAAAAAAAATAGAAATAAATTAATTGACCAACTAAAACTATACATAAAAAAAAAAAAATTAGCCGGGCATGGTGGCGCATGCCTGTAGTCCCAGCTACTCGGGAGGCTGAGGCAGTAGGATCGCTGAGCCCCGGAGATTGAGGTTGCTGTGAGCTAGGCTGACGCCACGGCACTCACTCTAGCCTGGGCAACAAAGTGAGACTCTGTCTCAAAAAAAAAACAAAAAAAACAAAAAAACTGTCTTCTATAAAACTGGTCCCTGGTGCCAAAAAGGTTAAGGACTACTAGATAGAAAACTGGAATTTATTCCTCTTACCTAGCTGTAATTTCGTATCCTTTAACAAATCTCTCCCTGTCCCTCCCTTCCTCCTACCTTTCTCAGCCTCTATATCTTCCATTCTGTTCTACTTTTTACTTCTATGAGATCAACTGTTTTTAGCCTTCACATACAAGTGTGAATATGCAGTGTTTATCTTTCTGGTCCTGGCTTATTTCACTTAACATATGCCCTCCAGTTCCATCCTTGTTGCCACAAATGACAGGATTTAATTCTTTTTTATGGTTGAATAGTATTCCATTTTGTATATATACCACATTTTCTTTATCCATTCATTTGTTGTTGGATATCTAGGTTGATTTTGTATCTTGGCTGTTGTGAACAGTGCTATAAAAAATGTGGGGGTACAGATGTCTCTTCGATATAATGTTTCCCTTTCTTTGGATAAATTCCAAGTAGTGGGATTGCTGGGTCTTATAGTAGTTCTATTTGCATTTTTTTGAGGAACCTCCTTACTGTTCTCCATAGTAGCTGTATTAGTTTACATTCCTACCCACACTGTGTATAAGAATTCTCTTTTCTTTGCATCCTTGCAGCATTTATTTTTTGTCTTTTTGTAATAGCCATGCTAACTGGGGTGAAATGAAACCTCGTTGTGGCTTGGATTTGCATTTTCCTGATATTGAGTATTTTTTTCATATTTCTTGGCCATTTGTATGTCTTCTTTTGAGGAATGTTCAGATCATCTGCCCTTTATTTTTCTTTTTTTAAAGATAGCATCTCACTCCATCCCCAGCTGGAGTGCAGTGGCACAATCATAACTCACTGTAGCCTTGAACTTCTGGGTTCAAGTGATCTTCCCGCCTCAGTCTCCCAAGTTGCTGGGACTACAGGCCCATAATACCAAGTCTGGCCATTTGCCCGTTTTTAATTGGATTGTTCATGTTTTTGTTGTTGTTGTAGAGATGTTTGACTTCCTTATATATTTCGGATATTAATCTCCTATCAGATGAGTAGTTTGCAAATATTTTTCTCCCATTCTGTAGATTGTTTTTTTACTCTGTTGATTGTTTCCTTTGCTGTACATAAGCTTTTTAATTTGATATAATCCCATTTATTTATTTTTGCTTTTGTTGGTTGTGTTCTGAGGTCTTATTCATAAGATCTCCCATACTTATGTCCTGAAGCATTTCCTCTATAAAAACTAACCATTTTAAAGTCCGAAATTCAAGGCCGGGCGCTGTGGCTCACGCCTGTAATCCTAGCTCTTGGGAGGCTGAGGCGGGCGGATTGCTCAAGGTCAGGAGTTCAAAACCAGCCTGAGCAAGAGCGAGACCCCGTCTCTACTATAAATAGAAAGAAATTAATTGGCCAATTGATATATATATAAAAAATTAGCCGGGCATGGTGGCGCATGCCTGTAGTCCCAGCTACTTGGGAGGCTGAGGCAGAAGGATCACTCGAGCCCAGGAGTTTGAGGTTGCTGTGAGCTAGGCTGACGCCACGGCACTCACTCTAGCCTGGACAACAAAGCAAGACTCTGTCTCAAAAAAAAGAAATAAATAAAAAATAAAAAAAATAAAGTCCGAAATTCAGTGGCATTTACTACATTCATAATATTGTGCAACCATCATCTCTGTCAAGTTCTAAACCATTTTCATCACCATCAAAGGAGACCCTATACCCATTAAGCAGTCACTCCTCATTCTCCCCTCCTCCCAGCCCCTGACAACCACTAATCTGCTTTCTATCTATATGTTATTAACTATTCTGGATATTTCATACAAATGGAATCATATTCAAGTTTTTGTGTTGGGTTCTTTCAGTAAGCATAATGTTTTTGAGGTTCATCCATGTTGCAGCATGTATTAGTATTTCATTCCTTTTTGTTTGGTTTGGTTTTTGGTTTTTGGGTTTTTTTGAGACAGAGTCTCACTTTGTTGCCCAGGCTAGAGTGAGTGCCGTGGCGTCAGCCTCGTTCACAGCAACCTCACACTCCTGGGCTCAAGCAATCCTCCTGCCTCAGCCTCCCAAGTAGCTGGGACTACAGGTATGCACCACCATGCCCAGTTAATTTTTTCTCTATATATTAGTTGGCCAATTAATTTCTTTCTACTTATAGTAGAGATGAGGTCTAGCCCTTGCTCAGGCTGGTTTCGAACTCCTGACCTTGAGCAATCCATCCACCTTGGCCTCCCAGAGTGCTAGGATTGCAGGCGTGAGCCACCATGCCCAGCCTCATTCCTTTTTATAACTGAATAATATTCCATTGTATATTTATTTTATTTTATTTTATTTATTTATTTTTTTGAGACAGAGTCTCACTGTGTTGCCTGGGCTAGAATGCCGTGGCATCAGCCTATCTCACAGCAACCTCAAACTCTTGGCCTCAAGCGATCCTCCTGCCTCAGCCTCCTGAGTAGCTGGGACTACAGGCATGCGCCACCATGCCCGGCTAATTTTTTCTAAATATATTTTTAGTTGGCCAATTAATTTATTTCTATTTATAGTAGAGACGGGGTTTCACTCTTGATCAGGCTGGTCTAGAACTCCTGACCTTGAGTGATCCTCCTGCCTCGGCCTCCCAGAGTGATATTCCATTGTATAGAAATACTACATTGTGGCCGGGCTCGGTGGCTCACGCCTGTAATCCTAGCACTCTGGGAGGCCGAGGTGGGAGGATTCCTCAAGGTCAGGAGTTCAAAACCAGCTCTGAGCAAGAGCAAGACCTCGTCTCTACTATAAATAAAAAAGAAATTAATTGGCCAACTAATATACATAGAAAAAATTAGCCGGGCATGGTGGTGCATGCCTGTAGTCCCAGCTACTCGGGAGGCTGCGGCAGGAGGATCACTTGAGCCCAGGAGTTTGAGGTTGCTGTGAGCTATGCTGACGCCACGGCACTCACTCTAGCCTGGGCAACAAAGTGAGACTCTGTCTCAAAAAAAAAAGAAATACTGAAATACTACATTGTTTATCCATTCATCTGCTTATGAACATGTGGGTTGTTTTTACCTTTTGGCTACTCTGAATAGTGCTGCTATAAACATTCATCTATAAGTATTTGTTTGAATACCTGCTTTTAATGGTTTGCACTGAATAATTTTTTAATGATAAATATGTAATAGGATTTTATTTTTAAATAGATAAGAATAATCCAAAGGCAGATTTTTACCTGAGGAACAAATAGGCACACATCATGGAGAATGGCAAGCAGTTTCCTCAAGTATAGCCTCTAACAGTGATCCTGGCCATTTTTACCCCTTTCTGTCTGATCAGACAGGGCCCCCTGAGATGCCAATTGCTCTGCTCCATTTGTTCCCTAGGGAAGGAGCTGCCTTTGTGAGTTCTCGTGTTCTCAAGTGTTTCCCTAATTCGTCTGTCATTGAGGAGGATGGTGAAGGGCTCCTGAAAGCTGGTTCCATTGCAGGTTCTGCTGTGTTGGAAGTCACTTCTATTGAACCTTTTGGAGTCAACCAAACAACAATAACTGGGATTCAGGTGAGTTCAGGGACTTATGAAAAAAAAATAAAGGAATATCATGGAAACAAATTTCCTTTTTTAAGAAGTAGAAACCTTCACCCTTTAATGTATTAGTAAGAAAAAAAGGGGGAAATAAAAAAAAGAAAGGAAATATAGAAAAAATAAAAATAAAATAAAAGAAGAAGCAGAAACTTTTCTGGAAGTCAGAAATGAACCTATGAGATAAGAGGCCATCTTGGTCCTCTTTAGGACATAGAAAAGACAAAAAAGATATGAGGCCAATCTTGACATTGTTATAAGCCATCAAAGTAGAATGGACTTTAGAGCCCTTGTTATAAAAGGGATTGGCCTCAGATTGATATGATTGTTTTCTAAGCAGCTTTTTCTTTTCTTTTTTTTTTTTTTTTTGAGACAGAGTCTCACTCTGCTGTCTGGGCTAGAGTGCCAGCTGTGGCATCAGCCTAGCTCACAGCAACCTCAAACTCCTGGGCTCAAGCAATCCTCCTGCCTCAGCCTCCTGAGGAGCTGGGACTACAGGCGAGTGCCACCATGCCCGGCTAATTTTTTCTGTTTTTAATAGAGACGGGGTCTCTGAGCAGCTTTGGCAAAAGGGTTGGTGTGGGAGGAGTGTAGAACTATCAAAATTAAGCTTTTAGCTGGGTGTAGTGGTACATGACTGTAGTTCCAGCTACTCTGGAGGCTGAAGCAGGAGGATTGTTTAAACCCAGGAGTTCAACTCCTTCCTGTGCAACATAGCAAGACCCCATCTCTAAAAAATAAAGCAAAGCAATTTTTATTAAGCATTATCATTAGAATAAAAACATTTAGAAGAGACCTCAATGATGTTAGTCTAACACAAAAAAAGATTTTTAGGCATTAGACATCTACTATGTTACACCCACTATGTTGGTCCTTTTATGTATATTATCTCCTTTAATTACCACAAAATCCTTATTAGGTAGGCATTTATCATTCCCATTTAACTGGTAAGAAATCTGAAACACAGAATGGTTACATGAGGCTATGAAATGATGAAACTATGATTCAAAGCTGGACTTCTCTTACTGTATCAGAGCTATCTCTTACAGTGTGAAAACACAATCTGTAGTATTCTTGATAAATAATTAGTTATTTAATGGTAAATATTGAGCACTCAGCACAAAAATAGATGAATTACAGTTCTTGGCTCACAAAGCTCCAGCTTCTCTTCATATTCCCACAGCTTTAATAGTTAAAAACCCATTTCCTATGTTGTCATATTTCTTTTCATTCTGATTTAAGTCATCTCGAATCAAAAGCTGTTTCTTACAGAAGCAGAACACAACTCTTTATCATTGATTATGAATTAATATAATTCCCAGAGTATGGTCGCAGCACTTCCCCAGTGCATCCTTCTCTGTACCAGTAAGTTTTGTCTCCCACAGGTAGCACCAGTGACATACTTGCGAATGAGCAGCCAGCCCAAGCTATACACAGCCCAAGGAAGGACCTTGTCAGCCTTTCCCTTGGGCATGTCTCTCACCTTCATTGTTCAGTTTTATAATAGCATCGGAGAGAAATTCCACACACACAATACCCAGCTTTATCTGGCTCTGAACAGGTATGGAAGTCAAAGGAATGGTGTTGATACTGTGGTAGAAATCTTGCAGATTAGGCTAATATTATATAGCAGCTCCAGTAAAGTCCTCTTACATTCTGAACTTGGAATATAATCTTTATTTCTTTCATTAAGATTTAAAGAAAAAGACCAAACTCAGTTAAAGAATGATAGTAGTTGTCAATGAAAAAAAATTTCAGGATGTTTTTAATCTCTCAAGTCCTAGTTGTTCACAGAAAGACCCTTAGTGTTATTATCAAAAAGTTTGGCCAGGCGAGGTGGCTCACACCTGCAATCTTAGCACTCTGGGAAGCCGAGGTGGGCAAATCACTCAAGGTCAGGAGTTCGACACCAGCCTGAGCAAGAGTGAGACCCCGTCTCTACTATAAACAGAAAGAAATTAATTGGCCAACTAATATATAGAGAAAAAATTAGCCAGGCATGTGGTGCATGCCTGTAGTCCCAGCTACTTTGGAGGCTGAGACAGAAGGATTGCTTGAGCCCAGGAGTTTGAGGTTGCTGTGAGCGAGGCTGACGCCACGGCACTTACTCTAGCCTGGGCAACAAAGAGAGACTCTGTCTCAAAAAAAAAAAAAGCTTTACAGGGAATTTTAAAAAAAGCCTTACCTGGCACTATACATAGGAAGGTAATACATTGATCCTTGGCCTATACTTACTCTCTATTGTGGAATTCCTTCTGAACTTTTGAGCTATTGAATACAAATTGTTGTGATAGGATACAACCCCAGAACTGTTTCCTAACTATTGTCTCTTTTTAGAGATTTCTACATTTCATGTCTACTTTCAGAGATGACTTGCTGCTTATTGGACCAGGGAATAGGAACTATACTTACATGGCCCAGGCTGTGAACAGAGGGGTGACACTTGTGGGGCTTTGGGACCGGAGACATCCAGGCATGGCAGATTATATTCCCGTTGCTGTAGAACATGCTATTGAGCCAGACACCAAGCTTACCTTTGTTGGAGATGTCATCTGCTTCAGTACTCACCTCGTCAGCCAGCATGGTCTGTATACCTTCCCTTTTTCAACCTTATCACTGACAGTTGTAAGGATTAGAAAGCAACTAATCCCTTAGAGAATTTTTTCCCCAAATTATATAAAATCTGAGGGCCTCTATGAGGAAGAAAATACTTTTGAGTGTTTTATTATTTGTCATGTTAACAGATAATTCTCAGCTTAATGCCCATTTTGCTCAATAGCCAGCCAATTCGAAGTTAGCCAGTAATATTTATCAAGTGCCTATTGGATACCTAGCTTTATTTTATATTATGTAGATAGCGCAGGGTACCGTGACTTCTCCTCCATTCCCAGCTTTCAAAGGAGAGTAATTGCTAAAGTGAAGAACAGTAAAGGATGAGAAATAAAAGGAAGGAAATGGCAATAAGGGTTTAGTTATTGTGTGTATACTATATTGTGAGGCATGTTTGAAGGCCTAATTCCTAACGTATCATCATTGTAATAAAGTTTGGCCTTATACTGGGCTACACTATACTCTTTTTTTTTTTTTTTTTTGAGACAGAGTCTCACTTTGTTGCCCAGGCTAGAGTGAGTGCCATGGCGTCAGCCTAGCTCACAGCAACCTCAAACTCCTGGGCTCAAGCAATCCTCCTGCCTCAGCCTCCCAAGTAGCTGGGACTACAGGCATGTGCCACCATGCCCGGCTAATTTTTTCTCTATATATTAGTTGGCCAATTAATTTCTTTCTATTTATAGTAGAGACGGGGTCTCACTCTTGCTCAGGCTGGTTTCAAACTCTTGCCCTCGAGCAATCTGCCTGCCTCAGGCCTCCCAGAGTGCTAGGATTACAGGTGTGAGCCACCGCACCCGATCTGGGAGAAAGGATTTTTAAAGATAGTTTGGTGTGTAAAGGATTAGACAATTCGGTCTGCTAATTGGCCAGGTTTGGGGCAAAATTATAGGAGTGTAGACATCATCTTCTCATGTTGAGTCAGTTACTGGTTGGGGGTAGCAATACGAACTGAGTCAGTTTCTTGGTTTTTGGTCTGGGTGGGTCAGCCAATCCACTGGAATGCAAGGCCTGGAAGATATCTCAAAAACTACCCTTAGGTTTCAAAAAGGTGATGTTATCTATGGAGGAAGTTAAGAATCTTTATGATCATCAGTTATGTGACTCCTGAGTAGCAATTATAAGAAAGCAAAGGAGGGGACAGTAGCTAGTTAATATCCTTAGTTTTAGCTATGCCTGTGCCTTTGCAAAATTTAGGCCCTTACCACAGTTCTTTTTTTTTTCCTAAGCTTTCCAGAGAAGAGATGTACTCCTTTATTAATTTGTGAAAGGTGGTTTCACTACTAAGTAGCTCTTCATATGATTCAGAAGGTCTGTAGGTCTCATTTTATTTTGCTGGCATGAGATATAGAGGGGAACCTGACATTCATAAAACAGTTATCCTCAAAGCTAGGTGTTCCTCCTGGAAAGAGATTTCTGCATGCTTGAACACTCTACTAATTTGGAGTCTACATAAAGTTAGAGTGATTTATATCAAAGGTTGCAGACAAGTGCTTTCCTGTCTTTTCCTAGGTGAACCCGGGATGTGGATGATTTCTGCTGACAATATTCTACAGACAGACACTGTTACTGGAGTAGGAGTGGCCAGGAGTCCAGGAACTGCAACAATTTTTCATGACATCCCAGGATTAGTGAAAACATATCGAGAGGTAAACATAGCTGTACCAGGGTTGAAGAGACTAGGAGAGACTATTTCCATACAAGGAGATATCCATATAGAAAACACATTTTAGGAAAGGAAATATACTCTCTTAACAGATATAAAGCCAGCCAGCTAACACTATTGGAACATAAAGCTAAACAATGCTTAGGATTCTTAACCAGAAGAATGACTACTATGATTTATGTTTTAAGAGGTCACTGTGGCTACTGGTTGATACTAGACAACAGAGGCAAGGGTAGAAGCTAAAAGATCATTTGGGAGTCTACTTCAGTAATCTAGGTGGGGTATGATGGCAGATCAGGGTGGTAACAGAGGAGGAGGTGGTGAAAAGTTGATCAGATTGTAGGTATATTTTATAGGTAGAGCCAATAGAATTTCCTGACAGATTATGTGTAGAATGAAAGAATCAAGAATGATTCAGGTTTTTGGTTGAATAGCTAAAAGGATAGCGTGCTCATCAACTGAAATGAGGAAGACTATAGGTGGAATAGTTTTGGAGGGAAGATCAGTCAGTTTCGGACATGTACAATTACATATGTCTATTAAATGTCAAATGGATGTGTTGAGGTAGCTGTATGTAAATGTCTGGGAATCACTGGCATAGAGCCATTTAAAGCCATTAGATCATCAAGAGAATGAGTATAAAATAGAAAAAAGATCTGAGTACTAAGCTCTGGGATCATTCCAACATTAACAGCTCTCAGAGAAGAAGAACCAGTAAGAAAGGCTTATAAGAAACAACCAGCACTCTGGGAGGCTAAGGCGGGTGGATCACTCAAGGGCAGGAGTTTGACACCAGCCTGAGTAAAAGTGAGACCCCGTCTCTACTAAAAAAATAGAAAGAAATTAATTGGCCAACTAAAAATATATGAAAAAATTAGCCAGGCATGGTGCACATGCCTGTAGTCCCAGCTACATGGGAGGCTGAGGTAGTAGGATTGCTTGAGCCCAGGAGTTTGAGGTTGCTGTGAGCTAGGCTGACACCACAGCACTCTAGCTGGGGCAACAGAGTGAGACTCTGTCTCAAAAAAAACAAAAAAACAAAACAAAAAGAAACAACCTATGAAGTGGGAGGAAAACCTGGAAACGCTGGTGTCCTAGAACCCAAATGAAGAAAGTATTTCAAGGAGGGAGAGAGTGATCAACCATGTCAAATACTATTTATTGATAGGTTAAGTAAGCTGAAAACTGAGAAATGATCAGTGGTTTTTGCAATATGGTGACTGGTGACTTTGATGAGTAGCTTCAATGGAGAGACTGGAGAGAACGTTTGGAGAACTGGAGAAGAGGAGTTGGAGGCAGCGAATATAGCTAGCTCTTCAAGGAGCTGGGGTTAAGAGTTTGTTTCAAGGCCGGGCGCAGTGGCCCACACCTGTAATCCTAGCACTCTGGGGAGCGGAGGTGGCGGGAGGCTCACTCAAGATCAGGAGTTGAGACCAGCCTGAGCAAGAGTGAGACCCTGTCTCTATTAAATATAGAAAGAAATTAGCTGGACAACTAAAAATATATAGAAAAAATTAGCCGGGCATAGTGGCACATGCCTGTAGTCCCAGCTACTCGGGAGGCTGAGGCAGTAGGGTTGCTTAAGCCCAGGAGTTTGAGGTTGCTGTGAGCTAGGTTGATGCCACTGCAGTCTAGCCTGGGCAACAAGGCGAGACTCTGTCTCAAAAAAAAAAAAAAAAATGTTTGTTTTGGGTTTTTGGTTTTTTTTTTAAGATGAGAGAAATAACAGGTTGGGAATGATTCAGTAGAAAAGGAAAATTTGATGTAGGAGTAGGTAGGGAGGATTTCAGGAGTGATATCCTTGAGTAGGTGATATGGGTGAACAAGTAAAGGGGTTGGTTTTATGAAGCCTGTCTCCCCCTTAAATACATGTAACATGTCCTTCTTCTTTTCCCAAAGTACTTATTTGTTCCTCTTTTCATTACTCAAATGTGATAGCTATCATTTTTTGAGTATCTACTATGGGCTAGGCAGTTCACATCTATTTTTTTTTAATTTTATTTTACATCCATCTGTCATTTTTGATCTTCACAACTCTGCAAAATAAGTATTAAATTACCCAATATGCTCACTTCGGCAGCACATATACTAAAATTGCACAGATACAGAGATTAGCATGGCCTCTGTGCAAAGATGATACACAAATTCATAAAGTGTTCCATATTTTTTAAAATATTTTTTTAAATTACCTAATATGTGCCTACATGGCATTTGGTACTTTTTTTTAAGGAGCTCATAGTCTAGTGGGACATAATTATATATATGGCACAAATAATTACAACATTAGTGATCACTGCAGTATGTTAGAAATGCTCTTAGAATATAGAAGAAAGTCACTTATTCTGCCTAGACATTAAGGCTAGATTTTCTGGAGGTGCTTTTTTTTTTTTAAAGATTTAGGGGATACGAGTGTTTTTTGTTACCAGTGAATTGTATAATGGTGAGATCAGGGCTTTTAATGTACCTGTTGATTGAATAGTGTACATTGTACCTGATAGGTAGTTTTTGATCCCCTCACCCTTCTCCCAACCTCCCCCATCTTAGTTTCTGATGTCTATTATTCTACTTTGTGTGACCATATATACCCATAGCTTAGCTCACACTTATAAGTGAGAACATGCAGTATTTGTTTTTCCACTCCTGAGATACTTCACTTAGGATAATGGTCTCCAGTTCCATCTTAGTTGCTACAAAAGACATTATTTCATTCCTTTTATGGTTGAGTAGTACTCCATGGGGTGTGTGTGTGTGTGTGTGTGTGTGTGTGTGTGTATATATATATATATATATATATATATATATATATATATGACCACATTTTCTTTATCCACTCCAGATATGACATTTAAACTAAATCTTGAGGATTAGGGGTATCTGCCTGGCAGAAAAAAGGAGAGAGGGCATTTTAGACTAAAGAAATAGATGTGCAAAGGCAAATAACATTTCATGTTTTGCTTGAAGATCAATGCATAAATCAAGGTGGCTTCAACATAAGATTATAGGCCAGGCGAGGTGGCTCACACCTGTAATCCAACACTCTGGGCGGCCAAGGCAGGAGGATCGCTTAAGCTCAGGAGTTTGAGACCAGCCCGAGCAAAATCAAGACCCCATCTCTACTAAAAATAGAAAAATTAGCCAGGTATGGTGGTATGCACTTATAGTCCCCAGCTACTCTGGAGGCTGAGGCAGAAAGATTGCTTTGAGCCCAGGAGTTTGAAGTTGTAGTGACCCATGATCACACCACTGCACTCTAGCCTGGGCAACAAAGCGAGACTATGTCTCAAAAAAACCCAAAACAGCTCATGCCTGTAATCCTAGCACTCTGGGAGGCCAAGGTGGGAAGCTCACTTGAGGTCAGGAGTTCTAGACCAGCCTTAGCAAGAGTGAGACCCTGTCTCTACTAAAAATAGAGAAAAAACTAGCCAGGCAACTAAAAATAGAAACAAAATTACCAGGCTGGCACGGTGGTCACGCCTGTAATCCTACATCTGGGAGGCCCAGGTGGCGGATTGCTCGAGGTCAGAGTTCGAAACCAGCCTGAGCAAGCAAGACCCCGTCCTACTATAAATAGAAAAAATTAATTGGCCACTAATATATACATATATATAGAAAAAATTAGCTGGGCATGGTGGCGCATGCCTATAGTCCCAGCTACTCGAGAGGCTGAGACAGCAGGATTGCTTGAGCCCAGGAGTTTGAGGTTGCTGTGAGCTAGGCTGATGCCATGGCACTCACTCTAGCCTGGGCAACAAAGTGAGACTCTGTCTCAAAAAAAAAAAAAAAAAAATAGCCAGGTGTGGTGGCGAGGGCCTGTAGTCCTACCTACTGGGGAGGCTGAAGCAGAAGGATCCCTTGAGCCTAGGATTTTGATGTTGCTGTGACCTAGGCTGACGCCACGGCATTCTAGTTCAGGTGACAGAGTGGGACTCTGTCTCAAAAAAATAAATAAATAAAAAATAAAAAAAAAGCCCATAAGATTATAAGGGTAGAGAGGGAAACTTTGGATAACATCCAAATAGAAATTGTATCATAAGCAGGTAATAGGTTCAAGGACAGATGTAGCATGAAAACTAGAAAAATAGATTAAGAAGGGACTAGGAACTAGAAAAGCAGAGAAAAAGAATGTTACAGAAGGCAAGGGAAAGAATGGGCTATGGTATTAGATGCTACAGGGAAGTCAAAAGGTTACTTATATTTGGATTTGTATACTTTGTAGAATCCTTATTTAATTATTCACTAATAGATACTCATTGAAGCCTTTGATGTGCTAGGCATTGTGCTGGCCTCTGGAAATACAAAGTTGAAAAAGACAAAACTCCTTCCTTCCCTGAGCTCTTAATGTAACTAATTTGAGTTTTAAGGTTCTTGAATATTAAAAACAAAACAAAACAAAAAGACACCACCACCACCACTATGGTAGGAGTAAGGAAAATGGACAATATATTACATTTAAAATGAAGATATTCAGCTCAGGATTCAAGAATTTTATGACAGGAAAAGAAAAAAAAAATGAAGATATTCAGAAGAAATAAGGGTCACATTATCATCTTCTATCATTGTAATCATTAAACACTTGTTTTATATACAAGGTGTGGTACAAGTTATACAAAGATAAATTAAGGTCAGTTTGTTGTTGAAGAACTTAGAATCTAATATGAGGAATTTTAATAAGTATAAAAATACCTACAATATAAGGTAGAACATTACAAATGTTCTTGAGAAAAACAAAGTACTTTGTGTTTGAGAAAAGGTTGAAATTATATGCAACTATAAAGAAAGAAAAAAAAAACTTCCTAAAGAATGCTGCAATTGTTTTCAAAGGCATTTTAATAGGAATTCAGTCGTACAAAGGGAAGATATGTCAAAGGGAATATTGGACAAAGACTTCCTTCTGAAAAAATTTTATTTTGTTCTCAAAGGTAAACAGATTTTGTGGTTCTCAAATATGTGATCACTAAAAGGGCAATTTGTACTTGTGTGAAACAGATGCTTTTGGTTAAATAGGGTATGAGGGTTGGAAAGGGAGGGAACCAGATTCTCCAAGAATTTGGGTACAGATTTTCCTTTGGTTTGCTTACAGGTGGTAGTCAATGCATCATCAAGATTAATGCTCAGTTATGACCTCAAGACTTACCTCACTAATACCCCCAATTCAACTGTATTCAAGCTCTTCATCACCACTGGCAGAAATGGTGTCAATCTTAAAGGTCAGGAATCTTTTTATTGGTCTGAGTGATTGTTTCAATCTTTCCCATCTTCCCTCAATTCATTTGTCCCTTCAGATTAATAATCCAAGTTTTCTTTTTATTTCAAAACTGATTCCATCTTGACAAGTCATAGAGATCTGTAAAACCTCAGAAATTATGACTAGATTAAGGTTTTAAAATAGTCTCAACCTAGTCACTACTGCCTTTTAGTTTTAAAAAAACTCCATCTCTGGCCAGGCTGGGTTGGCTCACCCCTATAATCCTAGCACTCTGGGAGGCCGAGGTGGGTAGATTGCTCGAGGTCAGGAGTTCAAAACCAGCCTGAGGGCCAGGCGCGGTGGCTCACGCCTGTAATCCTAGCACTCTGCGAGGTCGAGGCGGGCGGATTGCTCAAGGTCAGGAGTTGGAAACCAGCTTGAGCAAGAGTGAGACCTCATCTCTACTATAAATGGAAAGAAATTAATTGGCCAACTAATATACATAGAAAAAATTAGCCATGCATGGTGGTGCATGCCTGTAGTCCCAGCTACTCAGGAGGCTGAGGCAGGAGGATCACTTGAGCCCAGGAGTTTGAGGTTGCTGTGAGCTAGGCTGAAGCCATGGCACTCACTCTAGCCTGGGGAACAAAGCAAGACTCTGTCTCAAAAAAAAAGAAAAAAGAAAAAACCTCCATCTCTGGCTCCATCCAGAGACTTAATAAATTCAGGGTAGGGCCTAGTAATCAATTCTTTTAAAGCTTTCCCAGATATGAAAATTGTTAGCTTAGGTTACATCTGAAATGCTTTTTACTTAGCAAATTTGCCTTATGTGTTTTTGTTTCTTTTTTTTTCTATAATAGCCTGATTTACCATCAAAAAGGGGGAAGGAAAGAAAACTCAAATACAAGAAGCTCCTAATAGACTCAAGATTCCATGCTAGGAATTTTTACATTTTTTATTTCATTTAACAATCTTATCATGTAGTAATTATTAGCCTCATTTTAAAGATGAGAATACTGAGGCTAAGAGCAAGTAATTTGTACGAGGTAACAACCAGTCAGTGGAAGAAGTGGTAGATATTTCCCACTCCAAATTCTATGCCCTTTCATTCATTCACAAATTCCAGGCCAGGCATAGTGGCTTGCTCCTATAATTCTAGCACTTTGAGAGGCCCAGGTGGGAGGATAGCTTGAGGCCAGGAGTTCAAGACCAGCCTGAGCAAGAGTGAGACAGACACTTCTCTACAAAAATAGTCCCAACTACTACTTGGGAGGTTGAGGCAGGAGAATCATTTGGGCCCAGGAGTTTGAGGTTCCAGTGAGCTATAATGATGCCACTGCACTCTAGCCCAGGTAACAGAGGGAGATCCACTTTCAAAAAAAGAATAAAACCAAATTCCAGGTGTGTTTTTCTTTGGGGGGGGTTATTTGTGGTATTTGGGGCCAAGACAACATTCAAAACAAAGCACCATAATATCATTATTGTCTATAAAACTTAACATAATTTTAACTCTATTTGCCTTTTATCCTTCAATTGTCAAGTACTTAACATATTTTTTGGCCGGGCACAGTGGCTCACGCCTGTAATCCTAGCACTTGGAGAGGCCGAGGCGGGTGGATTGCTCAAGGTCAGGAGTTTGAGACCAGTCTGAGCAAGAGCGAGACCCTGTCTCTACTAAAATTAGAAATTAATTGGCCAACTAAAAAATATATATAGAAAAAAATTAGCTGGGCATGGTGGCTCATGCCTGTAGTCCCAGCTACTCGGGAGGCTGAGGCAGGAGGATCGCCTGAGCCCAGGAGTTTGAGGTTATTGTGAGCTAGGCTGATGCCACGGCACTCTAGCCCAAGCAACACAGTGAGACTCTGTCTCAAAACAAAACAAAACAAACAAAAAACAACATACTTTTTCACATTAGCTGTTTAATTTTATTATAAATATAATCTAAGTATGTAAAACTAAGTAAAGAATAATGATCTTTAAAGTTTTCCAGGTTATCCTACAGAGAAAAAGTACTAAATGTTTCTTTATAAGTCAGACAGCCCACTGTTGTCCAACTTAAAATGTTTTTCTTTTTTTTTCAGACAGTCTTGCTCTGTTGCCTGGGCTAGAGTACTGGGGCATCAGGCTAGCTCACAGCAACCTCAAACTCCTGGGCTCAAGCAATCCTTCTGCCTCAGCCTCCCGAGTAGCTAGAACTACAGGCATGCACCATCATGCCCAGCTAATTTTTTCTATATATTTTTAGTTGTCCAGCTAATTTCTTTCTATTTTTAGTAGAGATGGGCTCTTGCTCTTGATCAGGCTGGTCTTGAACTCCTGACCTTCAGCGATCCTTCCGCCTCGGCCTCCCAGAGTGGTAGGATTACAGGTGTGAACCACCATGCCTGGCCCAACTTAAAATTTTAAAAAACAAATTACAATTTTATTTCCCTAGAATCTTTCTAAAACTACAACTTATTTCATTGAGAAACCTCATGCATCAGTCCCTTTGCTGATAGTATCCCGAACATGTGAATGGTCACTGGACTGCAGGCAATTGAGAAAGAGCTTCAGCAAACTGAAACGACTGAGAACTGTACAGGGGCAAATCTTGTTAATAGAACACCAAATCCTATTCAATCAACAAAGCCACTAATTGCAACTGATTCAATGATGGCATCAGTCCATTTCTTGATGGCCATGTAGCTCCTGTTAAGGCACCACGTGTGATGAAGTTCTAGGGTTTTTTGGCTTGAAAACAAGCCTTCCGGCCGGGCGTGGTGGCTCACGCCTGTAATCCTAGCACTTTGGGAGGCCGAGGCGGGCGGATTGCTCAAGGTCAGGAGTTCGAAACCAGCCTGAACGAGACCCCGTCTCTACCAAAAATAGAAAGAAATTAATTGACCAACTAAAAATATATATACAAAAAATTAGCCGGGCATGGTGGCGCATGCCTGTAGTCCCAGCTACTCGGGAGGCTGAGGCAGTAGGATCGCTGAGCCCCGGAGAATGAGGTTGCTGTGAGCCAGGCTGACGCCATGGCACTCACTCTAGCCTGGGCAACAAAGTGAGACTTTGTCTCAGGAAAAAAAAAAAACAAACAAGCCTTCCTTGGCCGGACATGGTGGCTCATGCCTGTGGTCCCAGCTAGTCAGGCGGCTGAGGCAGGAAGAGTTTGAGGCTGCAGTAAGCTACAATCGTGCCAAAGCACTCCAGCCTGGGTGATGGAGTGAGACCTAGTCTCTCTCCTCCCCTCAAATAAACTTTCCAAGACTTAAACTACCTGCCCCCAAATAAACCTTTGTAAACCTAAAATCTATTTCCCAACTGTAGCACTTTATTTTTAATAGCTGTCCAATTTCCCTGTAATCTTATGCCCACTAATGAATTCCAAAAGTGTTTGAAAAAGGACACCATCTACGTATGATATAGATAATGCGGTGGTCGTTCACAAACTAGCAGAGGCAAGGGTCTTAACCCTTTGCACTCACTTGCTTTTTTCTCAATTCCTTTATTCTACTCGGGATTTAAGTTTTTAAATACCCCAGATTTTACAAAGCACGGCAGTAGAATAAAAAACTGGAGTTTCTTTTCATACAAACGTATTTATTTGGATTTTTTTATATTTCAAATTATTGACACATTCAAAGAGTGATTTTAATTTCCTTAATTTTTGCTAACCATGTCAAGTCACACTCGACATCCGAGTGCAAAGAGTTTAACACTTTTCTTTCACCTTGATTGCAAAAGAGCTGGGCAAATGAGCTCGACCTGATTCTCTCTCTCTCTCTTTTTTTTGTTTGTTTGAGACAGAGTCCCACTCTGTTGCCCAGGCCAGAGTGCCGTGGAGTCAGCCTAGCTCACAGCAACCTCAGACTCCTGGGCTCAGGCAATCCGACTGCCTCAGCCTCCCGAGTAGCTGGGACTACAGGCATATGCCACCATGCCCAGCTAAATTTTTTCTATATGTTTATTTGTCCAGCTAATTTCTACTTTTTAGTAGAGACAGGGTCTCACTCTTGCTCAGGCTGGTCTCAAACTCCTGACCTCGAGCGATCCTCCCGCCTCAGCCTTCCAGAGTGTTAGGATTACAGGCATGAGCCACTGCGCCCGGCCTTATGTTGTTTTATGATACCAGATTGCCTCCATATAATGGTCTCTCCTTTTACAAATTCTTGTTAGTGACAGATGTTATTTACCTCTTTTCTGCTTATTAGGATCCTGTACCCCGAATCAGGCCTTGGCCATTAAAAATGAACTTCTTCCAGAGACTCTTATGCTGTGCCATGTACAGTTCAGTAATACTTTGCTGGACATTCCAGCAAGTAAAGTCTTTCATGTCTATTCCAATTTCAGCATGGAGAAAGGTAGGTTTTACCAGTTGAATCTGGTTTTCCCCTTCTTTTTTCCTATCTGTAGAATTGTCCCACACTTATTGGACTGCATTTATACCTTCCATTTTCTCAATCAACGTTGTTGTTCAATCCATTCAACAAACTTTTAACACATCTCCTAGAATACTCTGTGCTTTTCTTTTATGACTATTTTCTTAAAACTTTGTTGGCTGGGCATGGTGGCTCACGCCTGTAATCCTAGCACTCTGGGAGGCTCAGTTGGGTGGATCGTTTGAGCTCAGGAGTTTAGGACAAGCCTGAGCAAGAGTGAGACCCCATGTCTACTAAAAATAGAAAGAAATTAGCTAGACAACTAAAAATATATAGAAAAAATTAGCCGGGCATGGTGGCACATGCCTATAGTCCCAGCTACTCAGGAGGCTGAGGCAGAAGGATTGCTTGAGACCTGGAGTCTGAAGTTGCTATGAGCTAGGCTGATGCCATAGCACTCTAGCCCAGGCAACAGAGTGAAACTCTGTCTCAAAAACAAAACAAAACAAAAAAAAACTTTGTTAGTCCCCATTATTTCTGTGAGAGTCTGGATTGTGTCTCTTTTACCTTTTATTCCCAGCACAGGGTTTAAATGTTTGTTGTTGAACTAAAGGATATTCCAAGGTAAAATAGCATTAACAAGAGGAAGTAGAAATAAGCAATGATGTTGGGATGGCTTTATATAAATCAACTGATCTAAAATGAGAGGATTCATTCAAATGTAATAGGGTAGTGCTACATCATGGGAGCCCGTAACCCTAGGCCAGGCAGTTTAAATGGTATGGTTAATGAGCAATCACTGAAAGAAGGTTCATTCAGCAAACTGTTGAGCACCAACCATAATACCTGGTACAGGGAGAGGAACTGGAGTTACAAAGAGAAGTAAAGCTTTGAACTTTTACTGTTACTGCACAGAATGATTAGTTACAGAATAGAGATATAGATGGCATGCTAGGAAAGCAGAAACAAAGGAGTGTCTATACCAAACCTAGATGACAAGGTAAGGTTTTACAGAGCAAATGACCTTAGAAGTACGACTAGGAGTAAGATAGATATGAAAACAACAGGACATTCCAGGTAGTTTAGAGCTCTGGAGAAGTTTTTTTCAAAGATAAGAAGAAAGCAGTTTTTAACCCTTTGCACTCGTTTGCTTTTTGCTCTTGCTGCTACCAATGTTAACCATGTCGAGTCACACTCAACATCCCAGTGCAAAGGGTTAAGGATCTAGTGTGAGCATACAGAATGAATAAGAAAGAGAAATAGGCAAGGAGACTAGTGAAGAGGCCATTGCAATAACCCAAGCATGAATGGATGAGGGTCTAGACCAGAGTAATAAAGAAATAATAGAGGGGGCAAATGTCAAAGACATTTTAAAGGCCGAGTTTAGCAAGATTTGGAGAGTGAATGGATATATAGGTGAAGGAAAGGATGTTAACACAGCTGAGGATTGAACATGGGTAACTAGAAAAACAATACCATTGGCCGGGTGCGGAGGCTCACGCCTGCCTGTAATCCTAGCACTCTGGGAGGCCCAGGCAGGTGGGTCGCTCCAGGTCAGGAGTTAGAAACCAGCCTGTGCAAGAGTGAGACCCTGTCTCTACTACAAATAGAAAGAAATTAATTGGCCAACTAATATATATAGAAAAAATTAGGCCGGGCATGGTGGCTCACAACTGTAATCCTAGCACTCTGGGAGGCCAAGGCAGGCAGATCACTCGAGGTCAAGAGTTCGAAACCAGCCTGAGCAAGACCCCATCTCTACCAAAAATAGAAAGCAATTAAAACCAACTAAAAATATATATACAAAAAATTAACTGGGCATGGTAGCACATGCCTGTAATCCCAGCTACTCGGGAGGCTGAGGCAGTAGGATAGTTTGAGCCCAGGAGATTGAGGTTGCTGTGAGCTAGGCCGACACCACGGCACTCACTCTAGCCTGGGCAACAAAGTGAGACTCTGTATCAAAAAATAAATAAATAAAAATTAAAAAAAAAAAATAGAAAAATACCGGATGGTGCACTGCCTATAGTCCCAGCTACTCGGGAGGATTGCTTGAGCCCAGGAGTTTGAGGTTGCTGTGAGCTGCTAGGCTGATGCCACGGCACTCACTCTAGCCTGGGCAACAAAGTGAGATTCTGTCTACAAAAAAAAAGAAAAACAATACCATTCACAGAAATGACATCAAGAGGCGGTTTGAGGCCAGGCGCAGTGGCTCATGCCTGTAATCCTAGCACTCTGGGGGCCTGAGCCGGGAGGATCGCTTAAGGTCAGGAGTTCGAAACCAGCCTGAGCAAGAGCAAGTCCCAGTCTCTACTAAAAATAGAAAGAAATTAATTGGCCACCTAAAAATATATAGAAAAAATTAGCCAGGCATGGTGGCACGTGCCTGTAGTCCCCGCTACTCGGGAGGTTGAGGCAGTAGGATTGCTTGAGCCCAGGAGTTTGAGGTTGCTGTGAACTACGCTGATACCATGGCACTCACTCTAGCCTGGGCAACAGAGTGAGACTCTGACTCAAATAAAAAAAAAAAAGAGGTGGTTTGATAGAGAAGTGATTAAACCATGCTCAAAGCTTGTCTTTCTCTCTCAAACCCTTTCCTGATTTCACCAATACAACTTCATTTTATGTCTTCAGTTCTTAATTACCCTGCTTATGCTATATTATTTAATACTTCCTAACATGCTGAGTAAGAATGGTGTTCTTAGGCAACAAGTTCAGTTGTGGATTCCATGGGACTATTTTCTTTTTGGGGGTATCTCCCCATACTTGCCAATAGTATGCTGATACTGAATACTCAAAACTGAATTCTCGTTTTTTTTTTTTTTGAGACATAGTCTCACTTTGTTGCCCAGGCTTGAGTGCCATCGTGTCAGCCTAGCTCACAGCAACCTCAAACTCCTGGGCTCAAGTGATCCTTCTGCCTCAGCCTCCCAAGTAGCTGGGACTACAGGCATGTGCCACTATGCCTGGCTAATTTTTTCTATGTATTTTTAGTTGGCCAATTAATTTCTTTGTATTTTTAGTAGAAACGGGGCCTCACTCTTGCTCAGGCTGGTTTCAAACTCCTGACCTTGAGCGATCCTCCCTCATCGGCCTCCCAGAGTGCTAGGATTACAGGTATGATCCAGAATTCATTTCCTTTTACTGTATTTGCATGTCAGTTTTTCCTTCCTATCCCGATTCAGTTGCCTCAATGGAACTTCTGAACCTTCTGCTCAGTTTTTCCCTTTTTTTCAGGTATTTATGTCTGCCTAATCAAGGTTCGACAGCAGTCAGAGGAGCTGCTCCAGGCCCTCAGCATGGCTGACACCTCAGTATATGGGTGGGCCACACTGGTCAGTGAACGCAGCAAGAATGGAATGCAAAGAATCCTCATTCCTTTCATCCCAGCCTTTTATATTAACCAGTCAGAACTGGTTCTTAGCCAGAAACAAGACATCAGTGAGATAAGAGTAATGGGAGTGGATAGAGTTCTTGAGAAGCTAGAGGTATGTTAAAGACTGCATCAAAAAAAGAACAGGAGATTTGAAAAGATATTTTTCATTCTCATTCCAAGGGTAAAGGAAGTTACTGAGTGACTTGATATAAATCACCACAGGAAATTCCTAAATTTTTAATGCATTAAATTTGTCCCCTTCATAATGCCAACCGGGCTTCCAGAGTCTAAAATCTATGTCATGAGCTTTGTCAATATGGAAGATAACACCAGTGCTTTCTTTAAAATGATCTTTAGAATTCTGGTTTAAAACTTTTTTGAGGCCTATTTTATCTCACAGCTCATTTTCTTCCCTTACCCTTCAACATATCTAAGGGTTGGTGAAATCCAAACCTTGACAATTCTTAACAGTTTATATGTTTGAGATTGATACAAAACTGATTTTTCATCTTTCAAATAAGAGTTTTTGTTTTTTTTTTTATTTCTTCTCCAAGGTCTTCTCCAGCTCTCCACTTCTAGTGGTCTCTGGCCGTAGGCACTCTCCCCTCACTCCCAGCCTGGCCATCTACCCTGTAAGAGTAGTCAACTTCACTTCCTTCCAGCAGATGGCATCACCCGTTTTCATCAATATTTCCTGTGTGCTCACCAGTCAAAGTGAGGCAGTGGTAGTGAGAGTTATGAAGGATAATTCAGATGCAGGTGAGCACTGGAGGCCCCTATTTTTAATCTAGAGGGGGAAAGAAGACAGAATATATTACAGTAGGCCCCCTTCATCTGCATCTTTGCCTTCTGAGGTTTCACTTACTCATGCATGGGTCAACTGTGGCCTGAAAATATTAATCCTAGCACTCTGGGAGGCCGAGGCGGGTGGATCGTTTGAGCTCAGGAGTTGGAGACAAGCCTGAGCAAGAGCTAGACCCTGTCTCTACTAAAAAAAAAAAAATTAGAAAGAAATTAGCTGGACAGCTAAATATATATATAAAAAATTAGCCAAGCATGGTGGCACATGCCTGTAGTCCCAGCTACTCGGGAGGCTGAGGCAGAAAGTTTGCTTGAGCCCAGGAGTTTGAGGTTGCTGTGAGCTAGGCTGATGCCATAGCACTCAACAGAGCAAGAGTGAGACTCTGTCTCAAAAAAGTAAACAAGTAAGTTTTAAATTACATGCTGCTCTGAAGTAGCATGATAAAATGTCACACTGTTCTGTTCCTGCCCCTCCACATGATTCATTCCTTTGTCCAACGGAGTATCCACACAGCTACCAGCGTTTTAATCACTTAGTAGCAGTCTTGGATATCTAATCAACTGCTAACCTATAGTGCTTGTGTACAAGTCACCCTTATTTTACTTAAAAATAGCCCCAAAACACAAGAGCAGTGATGCTGACTATTCACATGTGCCAATGAGAAGTGAAAAGGTGAAAATTCTCAACTTAGTAGGGGAAAAAAACATGTTTATAGGGTTCAATACTATCTGAGGTTTCAGGCATCCCCAAGGGTTGTGGAATGTATTCCCATACACAATTTAATGGAAAACATTTAGCCACTTGACCAAGATTACTCAAACTAGCTGGGGCATGGATCTTATCTTCCAAACTTACCCAAAATATAACCTTTAGGTAGCTTTCTTAATGCTAGAGCAAAATTTTATACTTAACACATATTAACAATAGGCTAGTATGAAGGTGGTCGTTCTCTCAATTGTTGTTCAGTTAGATTGAGCTCCTTGTTCTACTCTTTCCCCCTGCCCTACTCCCCAGCCCCTGCACTACTGAACTTGACTGGTCTTTAAAAAAAAAGTTACATCAGTTTAACATGAAGTTTGTCAGCTTTAAGTATACTATTTACCCTATTTTAAATGTTGTTTTCTTAGAAAGTATTTAGATCTTTTCACATCAGGCAAGGGGCAAATGTTGGTAAACACCAGAGCCTAGTTTAGAAATGATGCCAAGTTTGGATGGAATGGGAACATAGTTATAGAAAGGTGTTGGGAAAGCTAGAGAACCATACTTACATTGGTCATATCCACTTCCCCACCCCTCAAGGGAAACAGTGCTTCTCTTAATTATTGGGAGTGAACTAGGTTACATCCTAGCACATTTCCTAATGGTAAAGTTTTCTGTTGTTTTGTTAACACCTGGTATGTACTGAAAAATATCCTAAGCACATTTATATGCATTTTGTTTTAACTCTCTTACTCTAGGAAGTAGGTGCTTTTCCCTATGTAAGAGCTGAGGAAATCGAGATGCTCTCTAGATTCCCTACTGCTAGAAATACTACTAGAACACCAATCTGTTCGTCAATCTGTGCTTTCTAGTAGAGCAGTTTTTAAATCTCAGAATCCATAGATCTATAGGTCCATAGACCGAATTCAAGATGTCTATGATCCTGAATGGGAAAAAAACCCTGCATCTTCATTTTCAATTAACCTCTAACTGCAAGTTAGCATTTCCATTCTTTTTTCTGAGATGCTATCACCCAGGCCAGAGTGCAGTGGCATGATCATAGCTCACCTATTGTGCTCCCGGGTTCAAGCAATCCTCCTGAGTAGCTGGCAAGTGCTTTCAGGTGCATGACTCCCATTCCCAGCTAATTAATATGGCTTCTAATTTTATTTGGACTATGGTCCCATAGGCACTGGAAAGCCAAAAGCTTTAAACAGTGGGACCTGATGAAGGATTAGTTTTTAGTGTGCAGCCTCAAATTATTGCTGAGTGAAGTAGTTCACAAATAGTGAATGAGAGAATGGCTGAAAGGTAAGGTCAGGAATCTAGATGTAGGCTAGCTAGGGATGCAGAATAGCAACTAGGTATGAGCACCTGGTAACCAATTTATATGGGAAGGCCTGAATTTCAGGCAGTTCAAGGGGGAAGTTCATTTCTAGACACTGAAGAATTTGAAATTACCAAATGCGGATTCCAAATATGCTTCAAAGACAAGTCTATAAAGTTTTATTGATCAGGTTATGTACAAGTCAGAAAGTTCCCTAGAAACGATATCCTGAGTAGGACCCACAGGTACTGGGTTTAATAAATCAATGGTGATCTAAACAAATGTTTTAGGTTAGAGAAATTAGAATTGTAAATGGAAGGCATGTCACCAGGGGTTAAAGTGAACAGAAAAGGTAACTGGAATTTTAAGGTAGCAGAGAATTTGAAGCATCTTTTGTAATCTGAGAGGAATAAATAAAAGACTCAAGAATCAGAGAACTCTATTATCCTGGAGAAAGAAGCCAAAAAAGGTGAAGGAGTCAAGTATAGTTCACACTTGAAACCATCTTCTTTCCAGTAATGGCTGGGTTTTGAGTACTTCTCTTTTGACTATACATGTCTTTAAATGTGTTATCTGCCCTGGATGGTGTTAAGTAACTATTATCTTGTTTTGTTGTGGCCAATGCATAGATCAGTGTGAAGATTCAAGCATCTTCAAGCAATTCATTGGTTCTTACCAGATCCTCCTCTTTACTCTCTTTGTAGTATTGGCATCAACAGCTTTCATCTTTCTAGGTAAGGAGTCCTCCTATTCAGTACCATGGACTCTCATTTAGAAACTGCCTTCATTTCATTTCATAAACTATATGAGAATGAAAATTAGCTGTTTATCACATATCATTTGTGGCAAGTGGGTGAAACTGAGTTAGCTGCCCTAACCCTAGTCACACAGTGGACTAAAGGTCCTCCTCAACTTCCTACTACCAAGAAGCAATAAACTGTGGCTATGACACACCACTCAGAAGAAGTAGGGACCACTGCTCAATCTTAATGTAACATCTACTTTTGCTGAAATTCTTAACTAGGGATGATTCAAGTAATAAGTATATCACCACTGTACACATCTGCCATTTCCATCTTTGAGCCAAAAGTTGAATGAAAATACCTCCATAATGGGCCAAATAAAAACTTCCTATAATTATGTATTACTATTAATCTGAAGCATTACTGCTTTCACAGAAATATTAAGTATCATTTTACAGTTTACTTTGCCCTTTAAGGCCTTCCTCCAACAGTAACCAGATGCCTTTTTATTTAACATCTCCCTTGTCCTTTTTCCAGCATACAATGCATTCTTAAACAAGATACAGACTGTTCCAGTTGTGTATGTACCAACTCCAGGAACACCACAGGCAGGTAAAGAACCACTGTCCTCATTTTTGAAGATATACACAATTTAATTCACTAAACTCTTCATCTTCCTTCCCCCCTTCTAGGTTCTTATACTTCCACATATTCTCCTCCTTCCTTCATGAGTCCACAAGCCCCAGTGGCCCAGAGTCGGCTACAACATTGGTTATGGAGTATAAGGCACTAACCTACACTTGGACAAGTCCCCTGTAACTTTAGGAGAATGGAGATTTGTAGCTCTGGAAAAGGAAGATAAGCAGCAATCTCTATACTAAGCCTCCAAACAAGGCTTTGGAGAACTGTAAATAAAGGATCCTAAGTTGTTTTTTTTTTTTTTTAAATTAAAGTGGTGTATTGGATTGTGTTGTAAAGATTCACTGTCACTTCTTAACTCTAAAAAAACATCAAAATGAAAATCTGATTTATGTAGTATGCCAATTTTTAAAAATCAAACTCTTTTAAGATTTACCCAATGCGCCCAGGTGGGTAAAAATGTTCCAAATAGATTTTTAAGTATTTGGTCACTTACTTGCCCCAAATGACTCTAGTATTCCACTCTTCTGGTTGCCCCTGAATACTTGAGGCAGGAACTTCCTAGCAGTTAAACAAGACAACAAACAGGATATATCCAAAATGTGTTTAGTTTATTGGGATGACTTCCCATTCATTCAAGCAGGATACTTAGTGCTGCTTCCTTCTGAAGGAACATCCTGGAAGAAAAAGTTAGAGATTAGCTGACATTAGCCTAAGTACCCTCCCCACTCCCACAAAACAAGCAGGTGTCTAGTGATCAACCCTCAGAAATCTGCATCTTTACTTTTCTCAACCCCCTTAGCTACCTAAGCATTTATATCACTTTAGTCACTTCAGCCCATATAAAGCGCTTTTATCACCCACCCATCCCAGTTTTAGACATACTGCTTTATAAATACATGGTTTCTGGTAATAACTGCTTTTTAAAAAAGGAAACTACTGAATTCAACTGTCTTTACAAGACAGTCTGAAAATTAACATTGCACATGATCCCTCTCACTGTAAGATTCAAAGCCTATAAGAAGTTTTATTTGGGGGAGGAGATTCAAACTCCAAATTATAATATTAGTTAAACCATTTACCTTCTGTAAGCCTTGCTTTTCCTCCTGTAGGCTGGCAGAGGACAGTAGAGCAACCAACACACAAAACTACTGTTTGTGCATGGCTAAACACAGTGGTGATTTTGTAGCATCCTGAAAAAATAAACCACCAAGAAATAGTTAACACTCTCCCCATGATCACCCCAGTTATCTTTCCTTCATTTAAGCCCAACTCATCATCTCATCCATTAGTTTCCTACAGCAAAGGAAGTTTGTATATAGAATTTTGATGGGAGATCACTCTGAACTGAATCACTTCTAAAATCCAAAACTTTGCCAACCTAGTACATCTGAATTTTAAGAAAATCAGGGACAGTACTGGAGACTCCGTTTTACAAACTAAGACACTGAAGCTGCTGGGCTGTTTCAAGGATATGACACAACTCACGCTACAACTTCTTCCAACTGTTGAAGTCCAGTGCTTTCTCCATCACAGCAAGCCATCTTCTTACCTGGGCATTTCACATCCATGAAGTAGGAATTTGGGCTCTGCACCAGGCGCTTCTTCTTGTGTTTCCTCTTCTCCTCTTCTGGAGAGGGATGAAGGAGATCCTTTGCGAGCTAAGAGGAGCAAAAATGCAAAGATTTAGAAACCAATGGCGAAAATGAAATGACTGAAAACAGCCCCCACTGTCACACACCGGGGAGAGCTCGCCCCTCGCAGCCCCTGGTGTCTGCGCAGCTGGGCCGCCATCTTATCTCCTCTCCGCTCCCGTCTATGCGGGTGGCCCGTGGGCCGCTGCGGTCCCTGGAGTTAATGTCCTAAGAAGTGCAGAGGGTAAATGAGGACCCTCTACGATCCGAAATCAGCGCGAGGGGAGCCTGCGGACAGAAGAGCGAGATCTCCGCCGAAACCTGGACCAAGGAACTCACAGGCATGTTCTCGTGGGAAGGCCGTCACCGCCGGAAAGGGGCGAAAGCGGAAATCCTGCTCCTTATATCCGTCAACTTACAGGAAATGACGCACAAGTCTTGTGCAGCCATATTGGGAAGGTCCTGCTGTCAGTCCTGCAGTGGGGCGGGAAGGGAGCTGCCATTTTCGGAAGGTCTGCAAATGATAGTTATGACACAGGTGTGTCGCCATGTTGAGAGGGATAGATTGCTATCTTGAGGTGGGGTTTGATCACTATCCGAGGGATAAACAGACGCTTTAAAAATTAGGGGCCACACTTGATAGTTGAAGCCTAATAGGAACAGTTGAGGAAAACAACAGGGAGAACGAGCCATATCTGAGACTTCCTTACTATTTTTCAGTTACCCACAATCTTAACTATTTTGCTATTGGCTTAATTTATCCATATCTAACAATTCAAGATGTAAATATAAAAAAAAGCGCTCTTCATATTTTCCCCAACCCTAACCTACTCCTAGGGTTTACCACTGTTAAAATTTATTTTGTTCCAGGAGATATGTGGTGTAAATTTTTTTAAAAAAGGCCGGGCGCGGTGGCTCACGCCTGTAATCCTAGCACTCTGGGAGGCTGAGGCTGGAGGATTGCTTGAGCTTAGGAGTTCAAGGCCAGCCTGAGCAAGAGCGAGAACCCGTCTCTACTAAAAATAGAAAAAAATTAGTCGGGCCACTAAAAATAGGAAAAATTAGCGGGACGTGGTAGTGCTCCATGTAGTCCCAGCTGTTCTGGAAGCTAAGGCAGGAGGATCAGCCCAGGAGTTTGAGGTTGCTGTGATGAGCCAGGCTAACGCCTCAGCACTCTAGTCTGGGCAACAGAGTGAGACTCTGTCTCAAAGAAAAAAAAAAGATTAAAACAATCCTTTCCCTCTGAATAATAATTATAATTAAACACACAGTGCTTACTGAGCATACTATTCTGACTTCTTTACATATGTTAATTAATCTTCACAGCAACTCTATGAGGGTGATACTATTATTATCCACGTTTTACAGATTATTATATTGATACCTGGAGAAGTTAAATAAGTTGTCCAAGGTTAACAGAATACGTATTTACGCAGCTACACACATCTTTACATATGTATGTATACATGTACATCCACACATCCGTATAAAGATGCTCAGAATTCCATAGGAACACATAAGGGAACACCAACAACTACAACAACAAAAAAGATGCTCAGAGTCTCTCTGAACCTATTCTGGTTCAGGAGGCTACTCAATTCGCAAATAAATAAAGATGTAAATATGGGCAAGGTGAAGTGGCTCACATCCTAGCACTCTGGGAGGCCAAAGCAGGAAGAGGATCGTTTTAGCTCAGGAGTTTGAGACCAGCCTGAGCAAGACCTAGACCCCGTCTCTACCAAAAAAAGAAAAAATTAGCCGGGCATGGTGGTTCACGCTTGTAGTCCCAGCCACTCAGGAGACTGAGGCAGGAGGATCGCTTGAGCCCAGGAGTTTGAGGTTGCTGTGAGCAAGGCTGATGCCATGGCACTCTAGCCAAGGCAACAAAGTGAGACTCTGTCTCAAAAAGAAAGAAAGATGTAAATATGATAACAAATATATAGACAAATTCTCTTGCACCTGTATGACTATATTTGTAGGAAAATCTCTAAAATTGAATTGTTGAAAAAAATTGAATTGTTGAACGAAGGGTATATACACCGAGGTACTACCAAATGGACTTCCAATAAGGTTTTGCCAGTTTTCATTCTCCAATTATTTTCCCCACATTGACACCCTTGCCAGAATATGAAAAGAAAGGAAGGATGAAGACCAAAGCATCATCTTCTAATAATGACCAAAGAGGTTTATAATGTCCATTTGTCATAAAGGAAGGACAAAGATGACCCAGATGGCATTTGGGTGCCTGGTTAATTACAAAGGAAAGGGGTAAGACAAAGAGTGTGAGTTCTAGGCAAAGGTTTAAGAACCAAGAAAAGCTTTGATTTGTAGTCCTTGTTAATTGCAGTGATGTAAATGCTCACACAATGGCTAATTTCAGACTACCAAAGTGACATCATTGAACATAAATTGGTAAGGAATGTGCACAATCTTTCCTAAGTCAATAAGAACTGATTCCAACACGATACTGATGGGCCAGAGAAACCTCTGAGGAAGTGACATTTAGCTGAAATCTGAAATACTAGGATCCAGCCATGCATATATCTGAGAGAAGAGCATTCTAGGCTGAGGAAAAAGACTATTAATACAAAATCCAAGGCCAGAATATGCCTGGCATAAGTGAGGGGGAAAGGCATTGTTGCTGAGGCTTTGGGCGCTAAGGAGAGAGTACTATAAGGGTCCACTTAAAGCAGGTATATTCCAGCATGGGTACAGTTCAGAGGGTTGGCTAAGAATAATATTAATATATTGCTGTGGATGAAAGGTCTAGATCGAGGCAAAATAAGATAAAAAGTGAAAGAACTGATGGATTTCTATCAGCATACCCCATGAAAATTGAAGAGTAATTTAAAGAACTGATGAGATGTGGTTTGGTCAGTGAGAAGACAAGTTTGTGATACAGCTTGAAGAAATAATGAGAGGTGAGAGAATGAACAAAAGGAGAGTGAATAGTTGTGTTTCTGAAGGGATAAATATGGACACAGAATGTGACAAGGATATGTGAAGTGTTCAGAGATACCTTTTCACGATCAGTGCACATCCTTATATAAGGACAATTCTACTGACCCATTGTTAGAAAAGCAGATACTTTGAATAATTTTTTTCCAAAGGCAGAGATAAACTTGTTTCTTTTCTTTTCTTTTCTTTTTGAGACAGAGTCTCACTTTGTTGCCCAGGCTAGAGTGAGTGCCGTGGCGTCAGCCTAGCTCACAGCAACCTCAAACTCCTGGGCTCAAGCAATCCTCCTGCCTCAGCCTCCCAAGTAGCTGGGACTACAGGCATGCGCCACCGTGCCCGGCTAATTTTTTCTATATGTATTAGTTGGCCAATTAATTTCTTTCTATTTATAGTAGAGATGGTCTCGGTCTCGCTCTTGCTCTGGGTGGTTTCGCTCTTGCTCTGGGTGGTTTCGAACTCCTGACCTTGAGCATTCCGCCCGCCTGGGCCTCCCAGAGTGCTAGGATTACAGGCGTGAGCCACCACGCTCTCTCGGCCTAAACTTGTTTCCTTACAGCCACGCTCTGCTCTTCATAGTTCACCTCCTGGTTGCCAAGACTACACATTCACAGCCTATTCAGTGAGGTATCAGGAGTACTGCACCTTAAGAGGGCCATATCAAAATATCCATGTGAAGAATGATGTTTTTAGCCCCAATTTCTGTCTTCCTGAGCTATTTGGTCAGGGAAATCACA